TGCGTCGAGGGACGCCCATGGCCCTGTGACGTACCGCTCGTATCGCGGCCAAGCGCAAGCGCCCCACCAGCGATCGTCGCGCCTCCCGCCGCCTCCGCCATGTCCAAGCCTGGAGAGCTCTCGCGTACGGGGATGTGGTGGTGCCGATCGCGGTCCTGGTCCTGGCGCGCGTCCCGCTCGCGGATGTAGTAGATCGCGAACAGCATGCAGCCGCATAGCGCGAGCACCGCGACGATGCCGAGCACGATGACGATGATGGCCCAGTGCGGGAAGGGCGCGCTGCCGCCGCTGGACTGGATCTGGCCGTCCGGGCGGGCCGTCGAGGTGCTGGTCGTCGAGGCTGACGATGACGTCCTTGTTCTTAGCGCCGCCGCCGCTGACGCAGACGCGGAGCTCGATGACATCGAGGAAAGAATCGAGTCGGCGAACGTAGTTTCTGTGACTGCTTCAGGATGGAGAAGCAGTCGCCCGTAAAGCGCACTCACGGACTGCAGAAAACGTCGTCTGCGGCTGCTGCGTTCCGTCCGTCAGCGATTCGCCGTTCCTCTGGATCAGCCAGTAGAACGGATAAGAGATGTTGCTCCCCGCCCAATTGGCGCCTCTGTCACCCCACCACGAGTCATTGACCTGCGCAGTAACAGAGCCCGCCCGCCCAATGGGATTTATTTGGTCGGGCATGAACAAAATTTCCTCGAGAGAGTCGCCATGAAAGAGGTATACGTCGACCCGCTCCGACTGGACGAAGTCTGGATCGTTCGAATTCCCTGCGAGTTGATTTTTAAGACGTCAAGGAGAACAAGGAAAGGTAAAAACTGGCGCACAAACGAAGGTCGCCCACTGATGCTGGGGGATGACGACGTCCGCGGTTGGGAAACACGATATGACCTCGTTGCCCGATTGCTGCTCGCACTGGGTCTTTGCAGCCGCTGGGCAGGTAGAACATGAGGATCGGAGAATAAGCTTGGAAAGACCACTGTACCGACAGCATCCTGGTCGGCGACAATCTGTCTTCGCACAAGCTTAGACGTAGAAGGGACGCCGCCGAGCCACGGAGACGACGGAGCGGTTCGCTCTGGCCATGGATGCTTGAGAGCGGGGGACGCAGGCATCAAAGCCGGGGAGGCCGCGACGGGAGGAGACGCTGAGATGAAAGACCTAAAATCTGCTACAAGTCAAGGGTTAGTAGTCCGGACATTATTCACCGACCGGGGTAGGCTAAAATTTCACAGGTCAATTGCTGCCGAACCAATGCCGACACTATGACGGAGTCTACTCACCGTACCGGGGACACGGTGGATGGAAGTCGAAACGTCGAAGGCTGGTTGATTTCCGATACTTGACGAGCGGAATGTTCTGCAGCTGACTATTGCTCGCAGATGCGCACAATGAGGAAAAAAGTGCAGCCCGCTCCCGAATTGGCCTGGATTTACGGGAGCAATCCGTTGTATCCGCGCGGGCACTAGACTTCTTCCGTTACTGTATGAAACGGTCGGGCAACAGGCAAGCGTCATACTTAGATCCGTGGCGGGAAGAAATTGATTTGGAGCATGCCAGCATTGGAGAAGTTCGGCTGGATTCAGTCACGGTCACGGGACTGTACGCCGTTTGTGCAGCTAGCGAATGAGTACGCGTTGAGTGATTCTTCAGACAAGGAGAATCGCGACGAATAATCTTGGAGTGCTTTCATTTGGCGGTTCCTTTTCCTTCTCCGACTCCGAGTCGCGAGACAAGATCGAGGATGCCCACCCAGGCCAGTATTTTCCTGCTTCCTGGCGTGTAACTCGCTGGACGTTGTATTTGGACGCTGTTTGCGTAGAGTCCATGCAGATAGATGCGGGGAGTAAGTTGAAGATGGAGATGGGGTGTTACAAGGCAATAATCAAAACCCTGTCAATCAAAGGGTTATATGCAGTGTGGTTAGCATCACCTTTTTGTCAGACGCACCACATCGAGGTCAAAGCGTTGGAGTGCGCAGAAGATGCCATTGCCGATAAAAAGGCGATATTTCAATCGCAAATCCGTCAGGACTGCATGATTAGCATGTCATCTCTTCAACACGCACAGACGTACGACAGGTTCTCGAGGGCGGGTGATTGGTAGGGCGTCGAAAGTAGTGAATCCGTTTCTATCTCAGCTCCGTCGATACTGCAGAATGGCACAGGATCCGGCGTAGGTCATATATATCATCTAGTCAATGATACGGCAGAATCAAATCACGGTGCGCACCACACGAATGGCAAGCTGTCGAGGTTATAATCACCGCACCCCGTTTCGCATGCGAGTTACTCCGGGAACACACATAATGGGAGAATCGCGAGGGCCGCCTTGATAGTAGTATTCTGCGGATATACGTGTAAGAAAATCTCTGTTTGCGGGCCGAGTCGGATCGATGACGAGGGTGAGCTTCAGGGCGTGCTTCGAGCTCGCGGTCACGGAGGGACTCTAGGTCTCCCGTTTGGACTCAATACAATCGATATTGGCCTCTACTCCCTACATGAGGATCCAGACGCGTTTGGTTTGCGAATTGAAACTGGTTTCCACGCGGGACTGACCTGGAAGAGGAACGGAACGGAATCCGATCTCGGATTATGGATATCGATCCATGACGCGATGCTCGGATCTGTGAGCTGGGGCAGATATCTTCCTCGTCCAGGATCCAGGATATAGGCGCTGGGAAAGACGGAGGTCTTCAGTTGTCCGGCGGCAATATGGGAAATGCAAGGTCTTTGGGAAGGTCTGAGGTCAGTAACGCGTGACATTTCGCGTTTGATCCTTGAAGTTGTTCGATGGGATGGGACCAGATTCAAACCAAACTGAACTTCTGCATTGAGATTATCATCTTCATTTTTTAAGCGTATTGGAGCGAGGAGTGGAGGAAATTCACGGGGTCCAAAGAGACCGTCAAGTTTCATTCGGGCGAACCACACACGGTGCTAGTTGTTAGTTGAGTAGGGTGAGCTCCGCGTCCCGTCCAAATCTCAACGCTACATATTGCCCTATGTATTAGATTGTCCCAGGACTCTGTAGCAAAGTTCGACCCGGTAATGTCCATGCAATCAGCAAGGGTTCAGAAAACTCAATCGTAGCCACTTCTCCCCGTTACCACTCCCAAAGCTGGTCCGCCTTTCCCGAACATGTCGCGTAGGTCTCGGGTAAGAGATTCAGGATTTTCGTAAGCAGCGAAGTGACCCCCACTCTCGTGCTCACGATCGAAAACAATTTTTCCAACGCGTTTTGACCAGCTATGCACGGTTTATGAGAGTTCGTTTTTTTGAGGATGTTGCCAGTGAGCGACAAGCGCACCTTTTCGGGAGGCAGACCAATTCCTTTGGAAATCTGGAAATCCCCAGAGGAATTGGTGGTGGATCGCTAGCTGCGAATTCCTTCACATGAGGGTTTCCGCGTTTCCTCTGCCCACTTCGAAATAAATGCGCACGGAGGCAGCAGGACCGGCGCGAGAGAACCAGAAAATAGATACCCATGTGAGCACTCGAGGCGGATGCCCGTCGACGTCAGTCAAAAAGATCGCAAATATAGAAGGGGAGAGTGCCGTATTCACCTTCGTCATCATTCCAAGGGTATTCATCTGTCCAACTGACGAGCTTCTCGTAGACTCACGCCAAGAGACCGACGGGCGAATCTGCCAGAGAATACCCTAACGTCTGGGGTCTCGTGGCCTGCACGTTTATATAACCAGAGCCCGTCGCCATAAACTTTCGAGTGCGCTCGATCCCGGCTTTCTCCTTGGGACTGAACGGTTTGAATAGCATCGAGAGAAAATCCAGAGATTGACGGAACAAGCTCGGGGGTTCACCACTGACGTGCGTGATGTCAGGATGCCACATTTCGTGGCATGGAACCAAATCACGTACCCGTGGAAATTTGTATGCCATGCTTTGCTGTGCTTGGTGCCGTATAAGTTTGCGATCCGTCGTGTGATCTACAAGTGAACTCAATTCAGGGAAGTAAATTCGGTTGCGCGGAGCATACCACAAATCCCCAATCTCCTCCTTGAGTCACTGGAAACGGACGTCAATGCATGGTTTACCGCCATGAGACACAGAACATTACCATATTCATTATACCCCAACGCTAACATGAGTTTGTTGCAGACCTGAAGATGCTGTTTTAGACGAGTCTCGAGACGCGCCTTTGGAATCATAATTACTTCTGCATATTGGTCCAGACCAAATTTCTTTCTGGAAGGCGCTTCAGAGAAGCCATACCCGGGCAAACTCAGCGCTACGAGAGGGAAGCTCGGGTGGTCCGGTGAGCTGCGCGTAAGGAGGGGGAAAAGCTTGCGAGCCTCGAAAAAACTGCCAGGCCCTGGAAGAAGATATTAGTGTATTAGCAGCAATTACGGTGAGCATCTTGGAGAAAACGCACATCCGTGGACGAACAACAGTGGAATCGCATGTTCCGTTTCGCTTCTCTTGTGTATATAATGAATATTGAGGGTTCCATGACCATCCACCGCAATGTCGCGGGTAAATTGAGGAAGTTCTTCATTCAACAGCGTCTCATGGCTACGCCAGTCATAGCCATTTACCCATCGATTGACAAGACGTCGAATATCCGCGAGCGGGGGGCCATATTCCCATCCAGCATTTTGGAGCTCGTCGGGGAAGGTGGCGTCTTTGAGTTTCTGTTTGAGAGCAGAGATAGACTCATCCGGAACAGAAATACGGAAGACACTTTCGGCCATCGCTGGAGGATTCCGGAGGGAGGAGCGGCCACGTAGGTGCAGATTCTTTTATAGATCAGTAAACTCCGGGTCTATCGGCCAGAGAAGGTTGATTGTGAGCTAGGGGTCGCTTCGGGATCCCTGGAGTGTTCCCGCTGCCTCGATTGGTTGAAATCTTCGAAACTAGTGTCCAGCTGAGCAAAATTCTCCCTTGTCAAGTACCTCGGCCCCGATAGAAATGGCGTGGTTGTTTGCTCTTGACGAGACCGTTACCAGAGCTAGCAGCGATATCGAAGATGTCCTTGCACCTTGCATCGGGGACTTGGTGTAGTGGTAACACGCGCCACCGACAGAAGCCACCAGTGCGGATTGGGCCTGGCCAGCCCAATCACGAGCTGAGAATTAGCGTGTGGGGCGAGTCAGAGGTTCGATTTCTCCAGTCTCCATTTTTTGAGGTTATTTTTCTTCGGAGCTCGCAGGAAGAATACGAGACGGTCGAAAGGGGAACGGTTGGATCGCATCAGTGATGGTATTGCTTCCGCGTCCACTAGTTGCTCAACTTGAACCTCTACTCCCATGCTCCGAGTTCCTAGAAAGGCGATCTGATTCATTCCTACCTTGTTGTACATAGGTACAGTATCTGCTTGTTCCTTATAGGGACCTCTTGTAATATTATCTCCTCCTCCTCCTCCTCCTCCTCCTCTTCCTATTCTAGGTTCGCTCATTCAGGAGTCCTACTTAACAGACATTCAGGGTCTCGAATCTGTGGACCTCTCCAGTTCTTCGATACCACGATGAGCACCCCCTGCGTAAACTGCGGGTACATCACCTCGAACGACCTTCCCATTCCTCCAATCCCTCCGCCGAACCCTCTCGCACTCACCAACTGTCCACCCAGTGGCTCGGATATCGAGGAGGCTAGGACCTTCGTCACGATTGCGAATGGTCGCTTGGACGTTCTCAATCAACAGGTGTCAGCCCTGGCGTCAGTTTTGGCTGCTGTAACGCAGGAGAGGGATAAGCTTCTCGCAGACGTCCGCTCGCACATAGCGATTGTCTCGCCGCTTCGCCGTCTGCCATCCGAACTAATCTGTCGCATCTTTTCCATGACCATTCCGCCTCTGCGGCGCCTGGAGACGCAGCAAGCACCATGGTATCTGGGCCATATTTGCCAGCGCTGGAGGGATATTGCAGTCCGCCTACCAATGCTGTGGTCGTCATTTGTGATACCAAAGGGAGGGAAGTCTACTGCAGACGACTCCGAGGCATCTGAAACACAATTCTCTCGGACAGGTCAAGCCCCCCTCCAAATAGCGATCATTTACCCAGTGCCTTGGATACATCTGCGATCCCCTTTGCATGCAAGCCTTCTCGCTGCGTGCCATCGTTGGGATGTACTGGTCGTAAAAAATGAAGAATACTTCGCCGACATGGCGCGGGAACTCCACGGAAAGCTGTCTGCCCTGCGCCATTTCTCCGCGGACCGCATTTCCCAAAAATCCGTTGAAATTCTGGAGACCTGTCAGTCCTTGCGCGAAATCGAAGGTGAACAGGATGGTCTGCCGCCTTCCGCGCATGTTCCTTGGCATATCGTCACGCATTATAGCGGCACTGTACGTCAAGACCAGTATCTGCATATCTTCCGAAAGACGCTGAACCTCGTCGAATGTCGCCTAAAAGTTAACGGAGATTTCAGCGAAGTATCGAAAGATATCACGGTACTCCCCTCTCTCAGACGGTTATACCTGCACGGTACTTCGTGTCTTGTGCGCATCACTGCCCCAAGGCTCGAGGAGCTAGCCCTCAATGGCCTAGTCGCAGACTGCGACCCAGCGCATGTCCTTTCGTTCATCGAACGTTCAGCCTGCACCATCGAGCGCCTATCGCTTTTTTTGAACAAAAGCGACATGTCACCGTGGCTCCCCATCTTGCAGAAGCTGCCATCCATCCAGGAATTGACCGTAGCATCTACGAATGAGGCTGGGGTCGGGCTGTTGTTCGAGGAGGCGATGGCCCACAAGGATGACGATCCCCAGCCGCTACTTCCCAACCTCATCGCATTCTCCGTGGGAGACCTGGTCCTCAAAACAATGCGTATACGCTCCTTCCTAAAAATTCTTGCAGCTCGAGCGAGCCACTCGTGCCCGCTCGAATCTTTCGGGTTGATCATGAATTTGAACACCGACCCTGCGAGGATCAGGCTCCTTCCGAGCAGCTCCTCCTGCATCGCGCTGCAGAAATTGCGAGACGCGGGCCTACATATCCGCCTCATAAACTCACTTGATACTTTCCACTCGGCGCTCGAGACTGATCCCTTCAGCATTCAGCGTTGCAGCATGTATGATGGAATCGCAACGTTGGAACTATTTGAGTAGCAAATGTACAGTAAGTATTATGGCGATGTCCCATTTTTTTCACGACTAATGATTGCCAGCGTGAGCGCTTCTCCAAGAAGTTGGTTGGTTATGTATATAATGGGTACAAGAAACGCAGAGTTGGTCGCGCAGGGATAGCTGAGCGCGAGTGTAACCGAGGGCATAATATGATTTAGCGCAACATCTTTTATTTGTCTTCATTCCAAAGACTTCCTTTTTTCGCAAACGACCGACTCGCGGTATGGAATCCAGGACGGCGTGCACTGAAAAATAAGATAGGTAAAATTCCCCGAGGATGCGACGACATCAACTCACTTATTGGAGGCGTAAATCAAGTCCTTTGGCACGACAATCTTCAAATTTCGCTTTGAACGTCTGGTCAAAGGGTCTACCCGGCGTAGTCGTGAGCAAAAAGATTTTCCACCGCTTTACTCGTGGGTGACGGTCGGACGGAATCGAAGCGAGGTCTTCATTTGTCCACCACCGCGACCGAATCGCAGTTTCCAGAATGGGCTGGGAAAATGTATCCCCAACCTCGTCAAACCAGACGAGAGTGAGAGCGGGCGCAAGGGGAGAAGGATCGGAATCCCGGTAACGGAGAGCATTGAGCAATTTGTCATCGATGCAGCGATAGCAACGGAGAAGATGGAGTCGCTCGAGCAAGGGGGAATTACGAAGCATGACTATCAATTCCGCCGACGTTAATTGCATGAGCAGGAAATTGATTTCGGTAATGCAAGGCGAGCCTTGTTGGAATTGCGGGAAAGTCGAGGGGAGCCGTTCGGCCTGGGTCCACACATAAACGGAAAGTGAATTTAGACGCGGACAGATGATACACCCCAAAATATTGTGCATCTGGGAACTGTCCAGAGACATTACTTTGAAGGTTGCCAGCTGGGGCAGAACGACCTGGGAATGTATTTCCGCTTCGCCAACCATTTCCAGCAGAAAATACGTAAGATTGCCACAGTCCTTTAGGACCTCCGAGTCCAGTCTAAGGCATTCCCTTCCCGAAGACGAGTCGCGGAGAGTGAGGTCGGTGAGTTGCGCCCACGGCAAGGAAGTCAAGATAGAACCATAGGAATGAATCCGTGCCTTCCGGAGCCTTGGTGCACCCATGAGCAAGGTATTTCTCTGATTTGCCGCATCCCTACTCGAACTCAATCTATATTCCTGAAAGTCGACGCTCGTGAGCTTTTCCAGTTGGTGCGGAATGACCGCAGGAAGACTGGCGCGAGCATTCCCTGTGAGAGTTAACTCCCCCCATCGATTTGCCCCACCGATTAGAACTCTCATCAGAGGTGCTAGGTCGCCCGGTTCGAGTGAGGAGTGGACCCAGACAGGAATGGGCAAAGGGGAAGACCGATCCAACCACAATTTGAGCACCGTCAGATAACCCTCTGTGGGCTTTGTCTTCACATAGAGGGAGAAAAAGTACGTCCACAACCGGGGCGTCGTTAACGCAATGTTTCTCCAATACGCAGACACCTGCGACACCGCTAAAACAGCCTGCATTGATGCAGCGGAAAACTGGAGAAGGTTATATCCCATGGCCAGTGGCGGCACCGGCATGGCTAAGATTAGGAAAATTTCGACCAACAGCTCCGCAGAAAGCTTCTTGACGGGGACGATGGCACTGCGCAGGGTAGCGATGACACCTCGCTCTCGGTCACGAAGACGAGCGAGGTCTCGCATTTGTGAGTCTATGCCGACTATGGTGTCCTCGGATGCCTGAATAAGGCTTTTAACATTGGTCTCGAAAGCTGTCGACGCTGAGGTCTGTCGCATAAGGAGAGCCACGTTGGGATCCATCTTGGAAAGATTAGAGTGAGGTCAAGACGGGGCGTGGACAACTCACGATTTACTGAAGGTGGTGAGATGGCCGAACGAAAATCTGTAGGACAGTCGAGGAAGAAAAAAAGTGGGCGATGAAACAGCAGCGCAGGATCGAAGGAGGAGTATAAAAATGACCTCTATCGATGGATCAATGGAACGGAATGTTTCCAGACAAAACAAGTAATCCTCGAGCAATTCAGTTCCATCAACTTCTTCCGCGTCAGAAGAACGCGTCTATTCATTTGCAGGCTGCGCTCCCCTGGCGTCCAACCCGAGTAGACCTGAAGATAGGCGCAGTGAAATCGTCGTCGCTTCAATCTGCGTGCTTGAATAGTCCTGTTGCTCAGCGCATTGGTTCAGTGCAGGAGATTCACGACGACGAACGAACGATAAGTTATTATTCGGGTGATTAAAGAGTGTATACAGAAGCAGCAGCCACCTGCCCTCGACCCCGCGCCCAGTCATCCGCTCACGCGTTGAGATCGCAGGCACCAGGGCGGCGCGCACACCACTCGGGCTGGAGGGCATTGGCTGCGACGCCGCGCTGGCGGAAGCGGAACACCTCCTCGTGCAGCCGCGGCAGCGCCGCGTCGACGTCCCCGCCGGGCCCGCTCCAGAAGAGTTCTGCCGTCGACGCCGCGCGCGGCCACGTCGTGCTGTCGAGGTTCTCCGGCCCGCTCTGCTCCGTCCAGAGGAGGCTCTGCCCGCCGAGCACGAGCTTGGCCTCCGAGGCGGTGAGGTTGGCGACGGGGTCGAAGATGTATGCCTGCGGGAGCGCAAGGGTCGTGAGCAGGTCGCGCGAATGGGCGGACGGTAGGTGGAAAGAGAGGAAAGGAGACGCACGTATTGCCAGGTCTTGAAGGGGTCGCACCAACTGTTGCCGGCGGGGAAGTCGCCGACCCAGCCTCCGTGCCCACAGTCCAGGTAGAAGTAGTTCGACGCGGCGTGGACGATGCGGTATCCAGTGGCCGCGACGGCCGCGACATCGTCGGAGGATATCCACACCCTACAAGTGCCAGCATTGGGATGAATGGGGATTGAAGGGAGAAGGAGAAACGCACAGGACGACAGTGTCGTTGGCGAGCTGCACCGGGTCAGCCAAGACCATCTCTGCACGGCGTCGAGTGAGTAACATATAGTCCAATGAGTGAAGCTCACGGACCCTCCCAAACGACAGCAGTCTTTCCCTCAGTGCGCAGCGCAGCGTGGTTGCTCTGCGTGAAAGTATTCAACGC